CATTAATCACTCCAAATCCACGAACCCTTAAGAACACAACATGTAGCAAACCAGGTTAATTTTCTGATTATAACAGTCCACTGAAAAGCCATGAAAAAGTACTGATGAGGCAACACATAACGTCACCAAAAAGTAATTATGTGGCAATACAAGTTATAACTAAAAAAATATGTAGCAAATTTTGTATGTGCATAGCATCCTCTCAAGGGATGGCTTTTAATATTAATATTCACTAGTGCAGCTGCAGATTATGATCCCTCATATGGTAATTTTGCCATTTTATCATAGCAATGGACCACATACAACATTTTTTGTCATTTTCAGTGATAACTCAGACTTCAGTTTTCTGCATTATACAGCATACTGTAACTTTCTTAAAGGTATCATATGCCATGATAATATTTTGCTGGCAACTTTATTTATTTATAAATATAACTTAAATAAACTGCAACTGTAGGATTTTTCTCTCTCAGTCATGTATCCTCCATTTTTTACTGCTATTTGATATTTTTAAAATGCCTTATTTTAAAACAATGAAAATAAATTCTCTCATTTATTTTCACAACAAGAGTTTCAATTGTTATCGGGTAATTGTGATCATGGTCAGTGTATATAGCCAAGTTTGTGTAATTCCCTGATATTTATTCTAGCTGAATGAAATCACTGTGTAGATGGAGAAAACCATGGGGGAAAAAATTACAGAAGGATTTTTTTTAAATAGATAAGCATTTATATTTTTTGATAAATCATGTAATTCTTGTTTAATAATTAAAAGTTGTGTTTTAAACTGTTCACATTTTCTTTTGATATGTTCAACATATGCCAATTTACAATAAAAATTGATGGCTCTACAATCATTTAAAAAAAAATAGTTGCCAAGATCACCAACCTGCAGCTGACAAGTAACTTCTACACTTCTAAAAGAATTCATTCTTACATATCGACTGAATTTGAGAAAGACAACCAGCAATATAATTATATAATTAGTAACTTTTAGCTATGTTTCAAATGTAAAGCCTTTACATATTTACATACTGATTTTCAAACATTTTTATTTAACATTAATCACTTTAAATTCAAGTTCTTTAATCACTTTAAATCCAAGGTTTTTTTTTTTTTTTTTTTAATTATCATTATATTACATATGGATAGATTGCACCATCAATTTCAAAATCAATCTAGTTTTTATAACATTAAAAAAACACTTATTTACTTTTGGTACCATTTCAGCATTAAATTTATTACTTAACATCAGCTACCTAGAGCGCAAATTATAAAGTCAGTATAAACACCACAGTTACATGCAGTTAGTCATTTAAAGTAAGCTGCTTAAAAATGAAGCCAGCTTTATAAATTACATGATGCTGAACCAATATCTATCATGTTCGTCATCACTATTCAATTAAACAAACTGACAAAAACAATTACACTGAATTAACTATTGTATTCTAGGCAAAATGGCGACAAACTGGGAATGTGCAGAATCCCCCACTGCTCCGTGCATTTCTCAAAATCGCCAACTTGAAAATAACAAGTCAAAAAATTGCACAAACTCGGTATCCATGTACACATCGACCTATTTTCACTTAAAAAAACATCCCAGAATTGCACAAACTTGGCATTGCACACTCCCTTGACTTTGTGCATGTACACATCGATACGCGTCATATACGTGGGTGCGCCAAAGTTGTGGGCTCTGCTAGGATCCAACCGTATTCTATACAGTCAAAAGTCGTTAATCCGGACTCGTCGGGAATTCGCCGATTCCGGATTATCGATTTTTCCCGATTATATAGATCATCAGTTTAAATCTGGTAAGATGGCATGCAGAAATTATAAAATTAAAAATATGAAACTGTAATTTATGAAATAAAGATCAATTATGATCTAAAGGATATCAAAATTTACAAAAAAAAAAGCTTAATATTTATTTGTTTACTTTATTAAACATTTCTTTCAATGCAAGTTGTTGTTTAAGTTGGTTCGTTTTTTACATGACAATACATTCTCTTTAATTCTATAAACAGACATAATTTCTTGTTCAGTTACAAAGTTCCGCTGTTCAGGTCCCATAATTGCTGTGTCTACCAACTAATTTGTCAATCGAAATTTTTTCGTTTTCAATAACCTCTGTCACTTTCTTCGCTATCGGAAGCGAATTATAATGACGAGGAATTTGATTTAAATCATATCAAAGACGGAGTACATCAAGATGAAATACTACATTTAGTAAGGAATTATAAGCCAAATAAAATAAAAACATCTGCCCTGAAGATAAGGATAGTGCTGACAGATCAACTTCCAATTGATAGCGCGCCCGCCGCGGCATTAGATAAACAAAGGATATGCCTTTATCCATTTTTTGCAGCAATTCCACTTTTTGTTTAATGAACTTCAAAATATACTTTCGCTTTGTAAATCCTTTACATATTAGTAATATATATCAGAAAGTCTATTTGATGTAATCGAAAGTTCAAGCTTACTTTTATAAAACTGCTCTAACAGTTTGCAAAAAATAATAAGCCGGATCCAATTCAAAGATTAAGGAACAACGCAATCTGAAACATTAACTGAAATAGATAATTAGATAATTTTAGCTTAGCTTAAACCGTCCATTATACATTAAACGTGCACTCGTAAACGTATTTTGCGCACGCGCACAAACATATTCGCAGCCGTAAAGGTCTTACGTGTCAACGCGATGCATGCGCAGAATGTTTGTAGCTTTGAGGTCCAGATTATAGATCATTCCGGATTATGGGTGACCGAATTAACGACTTTTGACTGTAATAATAATTTTACAGTTAAAATAAGAACCGGAAATATAACTCTGTTTTATATTGATCATAATGTAGTTCAGTATGTAAGCAGAATCAGACAATTTGATTAACATCATACTGCACATTTGATGGGCACAGTTGGGTTGAAGTGCAGTCATTTTAGAAATATTATTATAATTATCAGTGCCATTGTTCGTTTATGTTCCAATGTGTTGACAATTTTCAGAAGCCATTTAGGAAAAGTGCTTGGAAGAAGGCAATTCATTACACATTAAAATAGCATCAAGCAGTTCTAACAATTGTCACATTAATTTCAGCAAAAGTTACCTTTAGATATAAGATTAACCTACACTTATTTTAATCCCCTTTTTTATTTTCACATTTCATAAAGAAAGCAGCATAAGAAAAGTTGCACAAGGCATCATCATACATGAAAAATGTCTACAAAACCATTAAATACATATTTGTAGTGAAACTGAATAAAATGGATACTTTTAGAGGCCACGGCAAGCACTTTGGTGATACTTAAAATTTATTTGGTGAAAAATAGAAATGCACCATGGCAACCTTCAAAAATGGAAAAACTGCAACGTATTGGGGAAAATACTATTATTTATATTTATACTGCCCATAATTCGGCAGCTGCTGTTATTATAAAATAAAATATTGATACTGTCTGATTTCCAGCCAGATTGAACTGTTTATTGCAATATCTAAGGAATGTTAATTCTTCAGCCCAACAATATACAAAGCAATAAGAAAAGAAATAATGAAATCATAAAACAAATTAATGGCAAGAAGATCCTCTGTTGATTTTTACTTGCATCTTTAAATACCTTACCTCCTACTAAACTGGTTGCCATTTTCGCATTTTCATTCAGTATGAAAAATTCTGTGCTCATCAGAAGAGGAGGAGACATTGGTTCTTTTTCATTTGATGGTTGGTTAAATAGGGCTAACATTTTAGAACAGCAAAAATAAAGAAAAATAGGAGAGATTAAATGAAACTGTGCTATTTACTTTCCACTTAGCGGAAAATCAAAAATGGTCAACATTTTAGATGAAAAGTAATGAAGCAATCATATAACATGGCCTAAAGAGAGTGTGAAAAACTATCTTGCATGTTATAAGTAAAAAAAAAATAATAATAATTTCTTTTCCAACTGACTATAAATTAAAAATAGTAAACATTTCAGAGAAAGAAAAATACTGAATCGATAACATCATATGGACAACTTCATACGCAAAAGTCTGAAAACTAAACCTGTTGCAACTTAAAAATCTGCCAATTACGTCTGCTAGTTCTGATGAGTAATTCTCCAGTCTTGATTACTCAACAAGCTGGTCGCTTTAACAAGGAAGTACCATCAAATGCTTTAAAATAAAAGTTAACATATATGCAATAAAGCCTCTTAGTAACCTTTATAAACAGGCTATATCAATAAGACATGTATGGATTAAGCATAAAAAAATTGAGCAATCATCTTATTTAGATGCCAGGTTGGTTTGGTTTATGTGATTGCGGCAAAACCTTGAGGGCTATCTGCCTAAGGGAAGGAATGCCTTCATGGAGGACTTTCTAAGGGAAACTGGCTTGCATATACTTTATAGATGGGGAAAACCACAAAAACGCACATGCAGCCACCTCATTTGTGGGAATCAAACCTCATTGAACTACCAGTGTTCAGCAACTTTACTGCTCGGACACTGGCGGGCGGTAAATTACAAATCAGAGAATTGCACACTCCCTTGACTTTGCCCATGTACACATTGATCTATTTTTACTTAAAATGTCAAAAGAAATTCACAAAAATCCAGCACCAAATAAGTGGGCAATTCTGCATTTCACTCGAATGCAGTTCAATGCACGATATAGCATATATATTACTGCATGTATAACAATTAACTTATGAGTTACATACTGAAATACTAATACATGAAAGTTTCTACAATTACTTAGCCGCACACTTAAAATAAACGCAATCAATCCTATTTTAATTTATTCATGTTGTAAATAAGATCTAAAAGCAATCTTAAATTACAAACAGAAGTACGAAACTTGATTAATCATATTATTTCATAACAAAATACACGAATTCAAAAAAATTACGGGATTTTTAAATCTTTGTTTTGTTTCCTCTTTTTAATGCAAATTAAAATTTTCTATTATATTCACACAAAACTTAGCCACTGCTGGGCTCACAGAAAAATTATATTCACCTGCAGACTGCAACAGTTCTGTGACAACAGATGTCATATTTTATTCGAATAAAAAAAAGTTCCATATACAAAAATACATAACTTGAGACGTTGTAAATATCGTAAACAATTTTGGTTACTATGCTTGTTTACTTATACAACAATAAACATTGGGACGGTGTGTTATTTGTTTTTAACCTTTCTTTGAAATTATAAAAAAAAACTTTTTATGATACCCTATTGCACTCTATTTTTTTCTTTTACACTATTTCACGATCAAACAGCTTCAGTGTTACCATACACACAACTCTTTGGATTTTCCCACGGAGTATAACACTTGGTTTTCCTTTTCACGGAGACACAAATTGGAAATGGGCATTTCAGTATGCTGCCACCGGAAGTTCATTTTCCAGCCAAATCAATTTCTTTGGAAAAAGAAGATCCAACTTTGAGAATAATTAGCTTGTGTTAACTTTATGATGAAAGAAGATTCTTCTCTCACAAATAACTGACGCAATCGCTTTAAGTAATGTCCTAGTAAGTAGACTAGTGATCTCTGAACTCAATTTCGTCAAAGTGTATTCTTGGGCAAAAAATATGAAGAGGAAAGCCGCTCCTGCAAATTTTATTCAGATAGTTCCCTCTTTATTAATGAAAAGTGTTTCGTTTTTTTTTAAATTTTAACCTAATAATGGATTATCCGTCGCGCTCTTCAAAAAGAAGGTCTCACAGTATCTTCAAATTAGTACGCGATGATTACATTATAATTTAGAGCTTGTATTTGAATTTGACATAACTTGTCCTTTCTTTCAAACATGGTTATAATTTTTAGACTTGCGTACTTAAAGAACGTTGTCGAACAAAAGAGCACTTTTAAAATGATAACAAAACCAAACAGAGATTCTTTGGCAAAACGTCACGAAAGAAGAAGAGAACCGCAATGCTTTCGTCGATTTTCTCTACGGGAATTTAAAGAGCGAAATGTGTTTAAACTTGTTGCACCTGTTAACTGTTCGGTGAGAAAATATGTTGAGAAGAAATGCGCGTAAACTTTTAAAATATTTTCTTGTAGCGGCAATCCTGCTTGCAGCTTGTGTAGTATTTTTCAGATCTTTTAGTTCAGTAACTGATATTGATGTGAATAACGTGAAAAGTCGGGAGAAGTATTCAGGATTACCTAAAGCTCCGAATAATCACAAAACATCATCGGTATGGTTAAAATATAATTTCTAGTATACTGTGTTCACCTATTATTAATCTTTATTATACGATTTATTACGGGTAAATCTGACACACGTTTTCAGTTGTGATCTAGTACACATCTATTTTCTTTGATAGATTAATATAGGTAAAATTTCACATAATATTAAAAGGGTTATGCAAGCCAGTTCTTACTGATTACAAGTGCGGTTTAGAAAAATCGTATTTTTTAATATTTTATTCTTTCGTTGTGTTATCAGAGAAGTTATGTTCATACATTTTTCTAAATAAAAATTGTTCATTAAAAATAAGTACGAAGTGGATAAAAGTTAACTTGCCTTTATTCCCTTAGCAACAGATAAATATGTTTGTTAGTTACTGAGTGATTCTCATTATTAGGCATTTCAAAAGTAGGATAAATCTATTATTTTTCATAATTTGATAAATCTTATAATATATATTGTTAGTGTGTTATTTTGTAATTTATTTCCTGCAAGTTGCCCAGAAGCTTCTTTTTAATATTTGCTAAAGAGAATTCGAATCTTTGACTTAAAATTTTAGAAAATATAAATTCATCAAAAGTATTTTTCAGAACAGTTTTAAACGATTATAAAGAATTGTATGTCAATTTTCTTTTGTAGGCAGATTTCATCTAAAATCATCGTTATATTGAAAGATTGAATTTAGCTTGATTTTAAATGAGGTGGATGTACATATGTTCTGCATACTAAATTTTCTAATTTGTTTTAAATAAAGTAATCTTTCATATCCTCAAAAGAATAAGGTCATACTGGATGTTTACATTTACAGTGTAGTAAATCTATCTTTTATATTTCTTCCAGTGATCAAAATGATTACTGTATAATAATTTCAAAGCAAAATTAAGAAAATTGTTTATGATGCATTTTTCATGAAATATCCTCTCATGTATTTTTAAAGTATGAAATTTTGTGTTAAAAAAATTGAACAAAATTAACTCATGAGAAATAACTTCGAAGTGCAGTAATTCCCTCATGATATTAAATATTGGAGAAAAGTACAAAACAGTTTATTTATTCATAAATAATCATCTCAAATGTCTAATTTATGCATTGTTGTTTGATAAATATAGGTTAGTAAATTAAGCTAGTTCTTTTAAGAATTTTTCTTGGATCAATTTTGTATGAGCTCTTGAGTGGAGCACTAAAGTGGCTGAACATTGATAACTTGCTTGGGTTCGAATCCCAGCAAACATGTTGGATTCATGGCTGTTTTATGGTTTTCACAAAATGTAATGGGAATACAAGCCAGCTTGCCTTAGAAAGCCCTTCATGAAGGCATCCCTCACCTTATACAGATAGCTGTCATGTGTTGTGGCATAATCCAGTAAGCGAATCAAATCAAGTCTCAGAGAGTTGGCTGATTACATGCGGAATTTTCTGTCATGAATGTAACTGTGAGAAATTTTGTCTTAAAAAGGTTTCCATGAATGAATCTATCCCTTTAAGCAGATAGCATTTGCGTGCTTTGTCATAATCCAAACTTAATTTTTATGCATTGTTTAAGTAAGTTGGAGTACACCTTATTATAGAGAAAACAACATACCTTTTTTAAAGAAAAAAAATTGGCTAATCTTTGGAATATGGTAACAGGTAGTTTGGCGACATTTTGGTAAGGCGATAAAGGTTATTAGCTAGGACTTTAGCAGTGTACATGGATAAAGTCAAGAGTGTGCGCAATGCCATTTTTGTGCAATTCTGGGATGTTTTTTTAAGTGAAAATTGGTCGACGTATACATGGATACCGTGTATGTGCAATTCTTAAAAATGCGGCAAGCAGTTTGCGATTCTGCACTTTCTCCCAATTTCGCACCTGATCTTCATCATGATTAAGCACTTTAATTCTATAAAAGTTCTAGCATAAGCGTAATTCAGCTAGCAGATTGTTGGAAAAAAAAGTTGGGTAAAAAAAAGAAAGCCTTTACTTTGTGAAAACAAAATGGCGTCCAAACAAAAACTAGCAGGTTGCTGTAGCAGAGTTGGTCGCCAAAATTTTCGCCAAAAAATTGCAAAGTTACCATGATCCAAAGATTAACCAAAAAATTATCATTTAACTTATCTGAATTACTTTTATCTCTTAAAAAATATAAGAGTTTCAGTAAAATAAAACTGGTTGAAATTATTATCGAGAAAACAACATACCTTTTTTAAAGAAAAAAAAAATATCATTCAACTTATCTGAATTACTTTTATCTCTTGAAAAATGTAAGAGTTTCAGTAAATTAAAACTGGTTAAAATTTTATGCTAAGTAACTAATGTGTTGATTCAATTTAGGAGTTACCCGAGCCTTAGTGATATTTAAATACTTTTTGGAAGATGTCATCCTAAAAGAGTGTCTAAGGATAAATTGGTTTTATTTAATTAACAGTGGATGAAAATCACAAAATCTATTATGCAGGCAATTGTCCCTTATTTATCTCCTCATTAACCAGACAAAATTGCATACATAATAGAAGAACTTTGAACGAAGTTAACAGTGCTTAATGGTTTTACGCACTCCAATAAAAAGGCCAAAATAGCATTGTATAATACGTAAGGCTGCAGTATAAAATGCAGCATAAACAATAAAAGTAATTTTATCTACTTTGTAAAAGGGCTTTTAAAAACGTTAAATAAGTAAATATATATGCATATGCAGCAAATGTTATTAGCCAAATCAAAAGATTTTTGTCCATTGTAACAATAGAATGCTTGTTGCTTACTCGATTTTGACAATGCAGTCTAGGGCTAATTGCCTTAAAATAGGGATGCCTCCTTAAAGGGAACCACCAAAAGTGTTAAGATCACTGAACCTTGGCAGTTGAACCTGCGTTAAAATTCCGACGAGGACTTTTGAGAGAAAGTGATTTATAATCACGTCACACATGGGGAGGGAGCCTATGAAGTCTGTTCATTTGCTTGTATTAGAATCTAGATACTTGTTATCTAACAAGATTTTCAATGATCTTATCTGCATAACTGGGTGTTACGATGTAACTAAAAACAATATTTACTGGCTTGAAGGAAGAAGCATAAACATCAATTGGATTATTTGATTAAGGCAAAGTAGAATATGGGTTTTTTGCTAAAGAGAGTGATACTTTTGTAGAGGACTGAGAATAACTGCCTCCGGTTCATATTTTTAATGAAAAAAACCAGGAAAAGGACTATATAGCTACCTTATGTTTTTACAATTTGCTGGCACCTGAACCGAGGTCTGGGCGAAAACATGAAAAATTCAGTGTTATGCATTTCTGGTTGGAGTAGATTTAAAGGTTCCCCTTAGATTATCGTTATTCTTTCATTTATAACGTGAATAGTTGAATGCTACGGAAACCCTATTATGACATAATTGGTTGCATGATTACTGTGAATTTGAGTAATGGGAAAAGATTTGGAAAGGCTTGTTTGTGTGTCAGATTTTGGATAAGAAGTCCATTGTTATTTTGTGTTTTACACAGTAAAATGGCTGAATGTGGTTAGATTAACTTGAAGTTTCTATACAGTTTGGAATGAAAGGGAGAAAAGCATTCATTAACTGGTGTGTAAATGAAGGTTTACTTAGTAGCCATTACAAGTGTCCTGTTTGTAGGAAGGAAATGCGTGTGGTTGAACATCAGAGGATACCGGCACTACAGAGGATATTTTTTAGTCTTATTTTTGCAAATTTATGTGGCAATGCCAGTATACAGATTCTAGTTCAGATAATTTTAGGAAATTTATGGATGCTGTTAAGGAATTTTGTTTGACTGAAGACACAGAAATTTGTAAATAATTACCTTATTTATAAATTTCCTATGTGTAGTGTGGATATTTTCTTTGTGTAGTGCTAGGATGAATTTCCTTTCTGGTGTTATTTCATTTTTTGATTTAAAATGAAGTGTATTTAGATTATATATTTTTTGTTGATTGCTCCTTTGACTTTTTAAGTGAACATAAATCGATGTGTATGTGCACAAAGTCAAGGGAGTGTGCAATGTCTAGTTTGTGCAATTCTCTGATTTTTTGGGGGGTAAAAGAATAGTTTAGGGTACCCCTTGCCGACTTTTGGCGGTACATGGATACCGATTTTGTGCTTTTCTTTGACTCGTTATTTTGGCTTGCGAAGCGGTGATTTTTGGAGCAAAAATACACGTCGAGTCAGCTGACCACTACAACTTGAAATCATGCTAAGAAGGCAGGACAAATACCGTATAGATATTCACAGAATGTCATAAAACTTCGGCAGGAGAACACTAGAACAAAAAGGGAAGAAGAAAAGCAATGGAAAAAGTCTTACTGGTAAAAAAATATTACGGATACACCCCTTAGAATAATTAGAACTATCTCTATGGTCCCTTATTCTTCAATGTTCAACAGTATAATTTATTTAATATGAAAGATGAACAGCGTAAGATATAAAAATTAATAAAAAAAAACATTTTTAAATATTTGTTTACTTGTATAGAACAACTGTATTAATGAATTTGTAGAGACATTAGGTTAATTGAAAATGCCGGAGAGATGAAAAATGAGCAAATGCCTTCACTGGAAATCAAACCACGGACCTCTGGAATACCGGCCCAGCGTGCAGGACCACTACACCACGAAGGCACGCTAGGAAGGCGGGAGAAATACTTTATAAATTTATAGTGTAATTGTATTTTTTTCTTTTTATCTTTTAGGTAAGTCAATGATTTTTTAAAGACATTCTACTTCAACAGTAGTGATATTTTTAACCCTTAGAATAATTCGTAAAATAGCTTCAAATTCCCCCCCCCTGCCAGTAATTTAGTGTGTTTCACATATTTTATGCTCTTTCCTCCTTTTTATTTTGTTCTGCAAGTACTGTATTCTTTTACAATCCAGCAAAGATTAAGTGCATCAGCAATATTTTGTTAATAAGCACTGCTTGTTTCATGTCTCCGAGTTCCATCGCATTTGTGGTTTTTCATACTTTATGTTTTGAAAATGTGTATGTTAGAGCATTTCAGGCTGTCTTTATGATGATT